TGTACATCTAAGAATGGAACAGTTGAATCTATTTTTATATCAAATTCTATATGTGCATGTTCACTACCAAAAGTTTGAAGAATTTCACGAAGTGTATTTGTTGATCGATTCCATGTAAAAAAGATTTGATTTTGACATCTATATAATAACAATAAGAAAATAAAAAGCACAAACAAGTCTTGTTTGAGTGTGATAAAAACAAGAAAAATCATTTTACCTGCCATAAAACTGTGTTTGTAATGAAAGTTTTTCTAATAATAATTTTTGCCAATGGAATGCATAGATGTGACATAATGTTTCACTCAATACTAAATCTTTTGGACTACCTTTTGTACAACGATATATTTTATTATTATAATAAAAATAATTATTTCTTAAAAATAATCCTGTTAAATCGAGAGCTTTTCTTTGAGAAATATTTCCTACAAACGCCGAATAACCGAGTTGATCGTTTAGAAAATTTTCGAGGGTTGTAAGCATTTTTCCATGAGGTATCATAGTATGATAATTTTTAATAGTAATTGTTACCAACATTGTTTTTGAATTAAAATCATTCTTCTTATCATTAATGTATAGATTTAGTTTTTGAAGAAAATCAATACCATTGATAAATGTAGTTGGTTCTATAGCACGTTGAGTAATAGGTCGAAGTAATTCATCTAAAAATTGAGACAATCGTGATGTTATACTAGATTTAGATGATCCTGTTATGATTGCTTTTAACGATATATCATTTCTCTAAATAGAAAAGAAAAAGTAATAGAATAAATAAAAGAATAAAAACATTATACTTTAGAAACATCAGGTAAAAAATATAAATATGATAATTGAATTTGATCAAAATCGATATGTAATTTCATTGGATCATTGTCTTTACCTTTTTTACTATCAAACATTTTTTTTATATCTGAGTTTATTGATCTTACAATCTCATTTAAATATTTGTATGTTTGTCGAAGATTGGTTTCATCGACATCTTGACAATATTCAAAATCATATGTATCCATTGTATATTGATTAGCTTTGTCTTCAAAATCTTTTCTATTGCCAAGGTAGAAATTATTTCTTTGATCAGTTGTTCGTCGTAAAATTAAATTATTTTCTTTGAGATAGATTCGAATCGATTGCACTAATTCTTTTTCATATTTAGCACGTTGACGAATCGTCGATGTTAACGAAGTAGAAAACATGTTAACGTATAGATCTTTAATTTGTTTATTGATATTTGCAGATTCAAGTTGATTTTTGTTATATTTTGGAAATAGAATATTTAATTCATGTTGTAATACTTTATATTGATTTTTTGTTCTATCAATCAAAGAGTCGGGTGATTCGAATGATGGCAATGAAACATAGGATTGACATGGTGGCACATATGTAGGTCCACGATTTAAAAGTTTTAGTTGTTCAGTTGATAGAGGACGATGATGTACTGATGTATCAATAAATATTGTTGGTGAACAAGAAAGAATTATACCATTATTTATACGTTCTTGTTCGATATCATGATTAGAACTTCGTAGATAATAATTCATTCTAAATTGACCTATATATTCTAATTTTTTATTGATAATTGTAAAGCGCCGAAATATAAGATCGACTTGATATCCACTTAAACTTTCATTCTTATTGTCATCAATGACTATTGGACTAGCTAGTTCATTTAATGATATTCCATCTTCATATATTTTGATTTCCGCTTCAGACATTGATAAAGCTATTGAATCCGTTATATGTTGTTGTAATTCTTTTTCTTGTTGATCTAATTGAGTTGAATTCGCATTCATTGTCATTGTATCAACAATTTTAGATGTTAGCTTTGACAATAACATAGGATTCATCGAGTTTGCTGATGGTTTATTACATAGAAGACGTCGTTTTAATTCAATTAATTCTTGTTTAGATTTTACATATTCATATCTTAATTCATATAGACGATCACCCATATCTTGCTACATACAGAGAGAGAGAAAAATAAAAAATAAAACTTCATTTTTGAGTTTAAAAGAAAAATTTACTTGATATTTTGTTGGGTTAGTTCGTAAATATTCACGTTGAAGAATTTGATCATCATACCCATATTTTAATATAGTCGTTTTATAATTCAATTTCATTTGCTGTGATTGTATACCATGTTGTTGAACAAATGTTTCAATGCTCTTCTCGATTTCATCAGTAAAACCAATTAAATTATTTTTTCTTTTTGCAAATTCTTCACAATAATATATCGTAGCTTTATTGAAGTCTTCCAAATATTCATAAACAATCTCTTCACATAATTTTTGTTCATCTTGATTTTTATTATTATTATTATTCTTTAACTTTAATGACATTATAGTAAGAACTTCATCTGGCCAAATTCGTCGATTAACATCTATTCGATGACTTTCATCTGTTTTCCATTGACCCATACCTGATTTTAAATAAATTGTCCATAGTTGTTGACGTATACTAATCATACTGATCTTATGTTTCAAGATAGCTAATTGCCTTAAATCTTCGATAGCAATTGTTGTTGATATACGATTTATTATATCATCAGTCATGAATTTATTTAAGAAGGTACTAGTTGATTGTAAATATGTTGGTAGTTTTTCTTTCTCATCACCATCATCATTCTCATCATCTTCTTCTAATGATCGAAATTTCTTCGAAACAATATCTAAAGTCGATGATGTACTTATTGATCGTTTGATTTTATCATTAACTGTATTTTCTATTGGAACATCATCAGTATCATTGTTTGTCGATATTTGACTTAATTTTTGTGATAGAATTTGTTGTTGAACTATCTAAATTATAAAAGATTAATATATAGAATGTAGTTTTTATAAAGAGTATAGATAGGGTAGTCGATTGTAATTACTTGATTATCATTAGTCGTGATATCATCCTGTTCAATAATCATTACTTCATGATCTACATTTGTGTTCAGATAATTAAAATCAAAATCTTCATTGTATTCTTCTAATATTTTATTGGTATCTTCAGTAGTATTATGATCATCATTGTCAGACAAATCATCTGGAACATCAAATATATCATTAAAATAATCCATATTATTATTTAAGTGAATCTAGAATAAAAACAAAAATAGAGAATAGAAGTATTTGAGCTTGGTAGTTAGTAAATATGAGAATAGTTGATAAGTAAGAACCTAATATTAATAATAAATGTATCAAACATCAAGTAGAGTAAATGAGAAAACAATAAAAGTATAGTAATAAGCAAAAATAATATCGTAAAGAGAATGATTCAATGATTTTAGATTATTATTTTTATTCCTATTTTCGTTATCATTGCTTCTTGAGAGTAGATGTGAAAATAGGAATTATGGGTGGCATGGTTTTTACTAATGACGAATTTTCGATTATGTTGTTTGTGAAGATTTGCGTTTGTATTTCTGTAGAGTTGGCGACGAAATGGGTGGCACTTAAATTAGTTATTGATAGATTTTTATACTAAATATTGAGAGTTAAATTGTTTCGATCGTATTGATTTGGTTGGATTGAAATTTGCAGTCTTGAATAGTTTTGGAGTAAGCTTTAAATGCTACATAGTGATTAACTACTAGAATTAGGAAAATAATCAAGTTTGATCTGTGATCATGTGTTTCTGTTGAAGATCTAGAAATAGAAAAGAAAAATTAAAAAACTATTCGATGAGTAATGGAAAAGTGAACGATCTAACATTTATTATAGATGAGAGGTGAGAAGTATGTTATAGAACAATAAATATAAAACATTTGGTTTTAATTTAATTGTTGAACTAAGAATACAATATCTTCCCATTGCTCCAATTGAAATAATTCCACATCATCGGACTCTTTTTGTCGCAGTTGTAATTCTCTTCTATCTATATCGCGTCCCATCTTTTGAACAACATCAATTTGTTTTAATTGTTCAATATCATCTTCTACTTGTGATACATATGCTATAATATCAGCTCGATTCTGTTCCATCAATTGTTCTTGTTCCCATTGTTTCAATTGAGTTTGTTCTTCCTCTTCTTGTAATCTCTGAAGTCGATCAATTTGTTCGGATTGTTCAAGTTCATCTTGCATGAATATTAATTGTTCGAATGGATCGATGACATGAGTTTTTTCTAATTCATTTATTTGTTCTTGTTCCCATCGTTCCTTTGGGTCCATTTTTTCCCACATATATGCTTCCAAAAGTGGCTCCTTGTCGAGTTCATCCATTGATTCTTCAAATGAATCGAACCGTTCCGAAAAGTTTCTGTAGTGCCGTCGTCGTGGTTCGTGATACCATTGATGTTGTTGTTGTTGTTGTTGTTGTTGTTGTTGTTGTCTTCTTTGTCGATTTTGCTGTTGATAATACCTTTGCTGTTGATAATACCTCTGCTGTTGATAATACCTCTGCTGTTGATAATACCTCTGCTGTTGCTGTTGTTGTAATTGTTCCTGTTGCAGTAATTCTCGTTGTTCTCGTCTTCGTCGAACTTCCCGTCTTTGAGTTAGATTATCATGTTCTGAAGTATTCGAAATCGCTGGCATTTGACTTGGAACCATATTAATTTCATTGAATTGTAGCGTTGATTCATTTGTTATATGAATCTCATATAATAATAGCAGATTAATATTAGATTGACTTGCATTCTCTTCAAACGATGGTGTTGATGGGCTATTTCCAATTTGACTGTTGTTCGTAGTCATCCTAAAAATGATATGTGAAAGTAAAGAAAAGAGAAATAAACAGAATTTTTCATAATAATATTCTCAATGTACATAAATGTATGTCAACAATTGCTTACCTTCAATGGTTTTGATATAAGTTGTTATTCAAAAACTTGAGTATTTTCTTAAGAACAATATATCTAGAGTAATCAAGAAATGAGTAACATATTAATGTATTTAACAATTATATGGATTATATTTCATGTTAATCTAAAGTTATATTGTAGCAAGAGTAAGTGTTAGTAATGAAGAAAAAAAAAGAAATTGGTTTGGTATCAATAAATATCCTTATTTGACATATTGTTTAAGTTTTAGTAATGATGTTCTCTTGAAATATAGTCTTTAATATCTGTTCAATATTGTATTGAGCACGTTCAACCATATTCAATTGACGATTTTCAATGGCAATTTTAACGCTGTCGACAGTAGGCGGTTTTTTAAATTTCTCTTGATTATTTGATAGTTTTTGTTTCTCGTTGTTCACTTTTTGAACATAGTTTTCGGCAATAGTTTCAGCTGTAGAGATAGTTTTCATTATTATATCTTCCATAAACTGATCAATAGATTTTGTCTGATGATTTGTTGCTGTTGATGACAATTGTTTATCAAAAATTAGATGTGTAAATATATCATTGATTTTTGTTAATGCTAAATCTTGAAATGTGCACAATGTTAAAGAAGAAGAAGAAGATTTTGAAGAAGACAACCAAGTTTTCAATAAAGCAATCTCATATCTAAGTGCTTGTTCATCTTGAACTGCTTTCCAAATAGTTTTCGCTGAATGTATCTAAACAAGAGGATGAGAAAGGAAGATGTATAATATTAATGATAATTATAAATATATTTACAGACCTCTGTTTGTCTCGTTTTTAAATTGTAGAAAGTATGAACTAATTGATGATCTCTAGCATCAAATTTAAGCATAGCTCTGCGTCGTTCAAGTTCCATACGTAATTCATATTGATCTGTATGTAAAAAATCATTGATAATATTCATAAGATTATTCATATCGGCAGTAGAAAGAGATATTTGTTTTATATGTTCATCAATATTAATTTGAAGTTGTTGAAGTTTTTTCATAAAATTTTTATGCCGTTGTTCGATTAATATTTTTGAACGACCATAACTATAACACATGGAATTAATCAGAGCCATACTTTTCGATACACGACCATTCCAAATACCTTCATTTACACCAAGATTATAGTAGTAAGACCATTGTTTATCTTGAAGTTTGGAATAATTTAATTCGTTGATCAGTTGTGTCAATTGACGAATATATGTTAGCATTTCATCAGTATCAAATAATTTATTCACGAAATTTTGATTATCATCTGTTGTTATTGTTGTCAGTAACATATCTTTAAAGGTATTATTTGAAACCACAGAATAATCGGTTAAAAATAGGCATGGGTCTCGATTTGATTCAGTATATAAAGAAAAACATTTTTTCTTTCTCGATAACGACAATGATGGCATGGACAATTGTTTATCTTCTATAAGTTGCATCATCTCTGATTGTGAAAATTGACGAGCTACTTCGTCTGATTTTGTTCTCGTATGACGATGATATTTCTTTTTCAAATTCTGTACCTTTCGAGTACGTTGATCTTTTTTGTTTAATTTCTTTTTCGATATCTGATTTTGCTGTTCTTGTGAATCTTTATCGGTAGACATAGTCGCGAGGAATTTACGAAATTATCTAGAATTTAAGAAAACATTGTTATCCAAGTATTATTTTGAATATTATATTTCAGAATAGTGCAACTATAGTATTGTAAAGAATTGATAATACTGCAGTTGTTTCTCCAAATCTATAGTCAGTAATTAGATGCAAAAATTGTGAATATTTGAAGGACAATACAAGTAGAAATTCTGTAATGATTTATGTATACCAAGACTATAATTTCATGTTGTAAATCGTCAGATCATCGTTTTGAAATTATCAATAGAACTGGAAATGTTAAAAAAATACAAGTGCTGTTGTCTTGTAGATAATCTAGAAGAAAGGAAATATATTGATTCTAAGTTTTAACTAACACTACAAGGAAAAAGAGTTATAATCTGGTTCTATTTGACCAGATAGATTTGCAATTCAACTAGTACAACAATTAAATTAAGATGTGTACATTAGAAATGGTGCTACACTACGGTTTACAAAGAAAAAAAAATCTGAAGTAAAATAACAGTCAGAGAAAATGAACAATTGTTGAGCAAATAAGTTTAGAAAATACACATCATAAAATTTCGAAAATTATAGATATGTTGAACTTTATCCGTAATTACAAGTAGATGATGTTCAACTAAGTCAATCATTGCTTTGTTTAATTGTTGATCAGTTGGAATTTGGCATTGATTT